TAGCAGATTTTTTTTGAATTTCGTTTCCTGAAATTTTTTCCGGCCGGTCAACGGCCGTTGACGCCGGGTCTCCGGCGTTGACTTTTTTTTTTCTTTCTTTTTTTTTATATAATAATTTTGTTTTGTCTTAAAAAAAATATTTTAATTAATTTTACTGTCTTGGCTGCTAAATTACTGTCTCCGGCAGCTATTTAACTGTCGGAGACTGTAATTTAACTGTTAATTGACTGTTTTTTTTTTCTTCAAAAATATTTTTAATTAATATTACTGTATTCGTTGCTAAATTACTGTCTCCAGCAGTTATTTAACTGTCGGAGACAGTAATTTAACTGTTAATTGACTTTTTTATTCTTAAAAAAAATATTTTTAATTAATATTACTGTATTCGTTGCTAAATTACTGTCTCCAGCAGTTATTTAACTGTCGGAGACAGTAATTTAACTGTTAATTGACTTTTTTATTCCTAAAAAAAATATTTTTAATTAATATTACTGTATTCGTTGCTAAATTACTGTCTCCAGCAGTTATTTAACTGTCGGAGACAGTAATTTAACTGTTAATTGACTTTTTTATTCTTAAAAAAAATATTTTTAATTAATATTACTGTATTCGTTGCTAAATTACTGTCTCCAGCAGTTATTTAACTGTCGGAGACAGTAATTTAACTGTTAATTGACTTTTTTTTTTTTTTTTTAATTTTTTTCCTTACAAAAAAATTTGTTTTAATTAATATTACTGTCTTGGATGTTAAATTACTGTCTCCAACAGTAATTTAACTGTCTTAGACAATAATATTAATAATATTACTGTTCGGAAAAATAATATTCATAATATTACTGTCCCAAACAGTAATATTACTGTCTGAGACAGTAATTTAGTAGTCAAGACAGTAATATTAATTAAAATATTTTTTTTCTAAGAAAAAACAATTCAAGAAAAAAAAAAAAAAAAAGTCAACGCCGGAGACCGGCGGTCAACGGTGGTTGACCGACCGGAAAAAAAATTCAGGAAAAAAAAAATTTCAAAAAAAAAAAAAAAAAAAAAAAAAAGGTCAACGCCGGAGACCGGGGGTCTCCGGCGTTCAACGCCGGAATCCGGCCGGAAAAAAACCTTTTCAGAAAAAAATTTATTTTCTGAAAAAAAAA